TTTCAATCAGCTAAAAATACATACAAGGCAACAAAACATCTGCGTGGTGGAATGGAGCGGAAAGACGAGGATGAAGATGACATTAATCTTGATGATGCTGACGACGAAGAGTTCTCACCAGAACAGGAACAAGAAAAGAAAAAGAAAACGCTACGTCTTAAAATACCAGAACCGGTTGAAGAACCCACGCCCACCATAGTGCCCGAAAGTAAGCGGCACAAAATTTTTAATTACATCAAAATCGGATTTTTGTGCCTAATTTGGCTGATAATAGCCATATTATTGCCATTAATGCCTATTGAGAAAGTGGACGGCTATCTGACGACGATTTTTCCAAATCAAACAAAATATATCCTCATTGAGCCACACTTAATCAATCGCGATGCTTTGGGGCTGCGAGCGTATGGACCGTTTCTGGTCAGCACGCAAGCAACCGGAAAAGATCCGGGCGAAAATTGGCATATGACAGCCTTTTTGGAGAAAGTGAATTTAGATGCGAATGCAAATGTTGTAGGCGCTGAAATCGTCTCAAATGCACAATACTTTTTGCTCAGCAATAATGAGCACTTTGATTATGTAAAGCCTGTGAAAATGAATGGGCATTTTGGTTTAAAGAATTTTTCCAAGAAAACTATAGGCGCTAAAGTGCAGTTGCGCTTGCGTATGGTGACAAATTTAAACCAGGAGCTGACTATAAAATATTTCTTTCAGCGCTCTTTGGACGCTTCCATTGGCATTGTGCTTGGTGGCTTAGTGTTGGCCTTCTTGTACATTTCCATCATCTGGGAACTTGTCAATCGCACCTTTGTCGCCGTCATAGCGGCCACACTAGCCATTGCGGTGCTGGGTTACATGCGTTCTTGGCCCAAAGTGAGTAAGATCATCAAGTGGATGGATACGGAAACATTATTGCTGCTTTTCGGTATGATGATACTTGTTGGCATACTTGCCGAATCGGGTATTTTCGATTATTTCGCCGTATATGCATACCAACTGTCCAAGGGGCATATTTGGCCTATGGTCAACACTCTGTGCTTCTTCACCGCCACACTGTCGGCTTTTGTGGACAGCGTTACCATGATGCTGCTCATTACGCCCATCATCGTCAAGCTGTGTGAAGTGATGCAAGCCGATACTGTGCTGGTGCTGATGTTCCTAGTCATCTATGCAAATGTTGGTGCCGCCTCTACGCCAGTTGGCGATCCACCGAACATCATCATCACCACGAATGCGTTCATCGCCTCGCATAACATAAATTTCGGCAACTTTATGCTACACACCTTGCCTTGTGTGCTACTGGCACTGCTGCAGACCTACATTCAAATACGTCTGACGTTTCGTAAATTGGGACGTGTGCCCTATAAAGCGGATGTGCAGAGCGAGTTGCGACAGGGTGCTCACGCTTGGGAGCGTGCCGCAGCCGCTATTCAACCCTACTCCAAAGAGACCGCTCAACTGAGGAACGTACTAATGCTGAAAGCCGAACGCGTCAAGAAAAGTATAGCTAATTTCGGTAGCCGCAAGCAGCCTACAGCCAACTATGAAGAGACGCTTGCTGAATTGCGCTCTTCCTATGGCATACGCAATAAAATGTTGCTCTTCAAATCTTGCATTGCATTCGCATTGGTGATGTCGCTGTTTTTCCTGCACTCTGGTCATCTGCATCAGCTGTCTCTTGGCGAAGCGGCTCTTATCGGCGCTATACTTTTGCTTATCCTCGCCGACGTTCGCGACATGGAGGCAGTATTGGGCCGCGTCGAATGGTCTACGCTGATATTCTTTGGTTCGCTATTCGTGCTAATGGAAGCACTCACCGAAATCGGTGTTATCGCAGTGCTGGGTAGAATGGTGGAAAATGTCGTATTCTCCGTTAGTGAGGAGTATCGCTTGTTTGTCGCGTTGGAATTGTTGCTTTGGGTGTCTGCGATTGCTTCCGCCTTTCTGGACAACATACCGGTCACAACAATGATGATACGTATTGTGATCGCACTTTCGCAAAACAAGGAACTTAATTTGCCCCTGCATCCGATGGTCTGGGCGCTGGCAATGGGTGCCTGCTTCGGTGGCAATGGCACACTAATAGGCGGCTCTGCTAATGTTGTGACCGCCGGTGTAGCAGAACAGCATGGATATGCTTTCACGTTTAAACGATTTTTTTATGTTGGTTTTCCACTGATGGTTGGAAATGTAATCATAACATCGATATATCTGTATGTGTGTCATGTGGTGTTTGAATGGCATGATCCGCCGACAAATTGATGTCACTACCAAGTGTATGTATGTATGTATTGAATTCCAAGATGTAAAAATACAAAGCAACAGTCTTTTTGCTTTTTTTTGCATTTTAGACTTCAAAGTAATTGTACAATAAATTACGAAAGGCAAGAGTTTTCAAGTTAATGGTAAGAAACTATTTTTAAAACAAGTTGCCCAAATATAAACCAAATTGGACAATAAATGCGAGTTTCCCAAACATCTCGATCCTGCGCCACCTATCGGCTTGTTTTTGTGGACTTATTTCTTTTCAAGTAAGTAATATACTTATATACCTGAATGCAATTTTTAGACCATCACACGACCTGTCAGCTAATTTTTGACGTAGAATACGTCTTACCTTAAGGTATGGGGGCTATGTTCAAATGTTGTAGTGGTAATTTTTAGAGCTTCACAAAAACGATTATTGCACGAGAACTAATAAAGCGATTTCAAAGAAAAGTGTGGCGTTTCAAAGATAAAATTCCAAAGCTGTCGACAGATTCATTTTTGTAAATAACCAATTCGGTTTCTGTCGTAAAAACAACGGTAAACATTGCCTTATTTTGGGGTCAATTTTGAGCCTTTAAACTGCTCTAGCAACTTATTGTTGGCATATATAACTTTCATTTTCGGGATATAGGTTCTTTGGAGCAGTAGAAATATTATCGGGTACAAATTTTGTATAAATTTAACAAATATTGAGCATTTTAAGGCAAAAAATTGTTGAAAAAATTTGCAAATTTTTTTTATTACCAAAATGCTCGAAAACCGCTCGAATGATTTTGTTTTTGTTTTCTTTAATCAAAAATTCAAGAGTTTTCCTTTTGTTTGGTATATGGGAAGTATTGGTTGATATCTTCTATATATGTTTATTTTATTCAAATATATGGGCATAAATGATTTTCCATACAAAATCACCTCGTCATCATTTTGCAAACACGTGCATATGTTGGAAGTGTGGGAAGGAGACAAAAAGTATGTATGCGTATGTAATGCGGCTTTTGATAAACAGAGGCGCGCTATTTATAACCTAATCGCAGCGTGTGTACATATGTAAATACATACATACGTACATATGTTGATTGCAGTTAATGTGGATCTGTTTCTATTCTTAGTGTGTGATTTCGTTTTTGACTTGGATATGCTCTTAGCCATACCACGTATTCTACGTTTAAATATAGCGGCTGTATCTCCGATACAGCCTGCAGACCAAGACGAAGGCGCTGGACTGTTCCTTTTTTGTAGAGTTATTTCCTTTCATATTGATAATATACATCTAGGAGATTAATTTTCTTTCATATTGCATTGCCATCGGATTCTGAGCGCGAAGTTTGAAGTTTCAAGTATCTAACTCATCGCGAAGTTGGTTAATAATTAATTGAAAACATTTGATTACATATAGGTGAAACATAATTAAAGCTTATAAAAATTGTTATTTCTCGACATTTTCTCTGTTTTCGCCAAAAACTGCAGACTAAGTTCGGTTCAAACTTGGGTTTGGGGATTGCAAATTCTGAACCGTATTGTCCAAGAGAAAGTGAAGATTATGCCCATTACCTTCGATTTAGACTGCAGATCCTAACCCAGTTTTGGAGCCATAAGTAAAAGTTATACATTGTGTAAGCCTAGGCTTGTATGTGGGTTCAAAAAGATCACCCTTTTTGAAATTAATCTCGAAAAACTCACTCGAAATTGGGGGTAGAAAGTAATAGTTATTGTCGAAATTTAAATTCAAGAACTCAGACGGAAAGAGTTTGTCTATATGCTGTGTAGAGCTCGGATATTTATGCAAGTGATTATTTTTGTTTAACATCACAGAAAGTCCGGACCTGAGTATACTTATTACAGGAGGAAGTGAGTCAATTTGGACCTAATGCGTTTTGCATATTTTCACATATTTTGCATGTTTGCATATTTTTTGCATATTTGCATATTTTTGTATATATTTTGCATATTTCCTATAAATAAATTATTATAACATTGATATTGTAAATAAATGATGATATTGTAAATAAATTATTATGACACTGAAGATGGCACAACGCCGAAACCTTTGAAATTTGATTTTGAAACCGAAATTTGACATGGGATGACGAAAAAACTCGTTCCAAAATACATCAAAATTTAACTTTTATTTTTGACCGAAAAACTAAAAGTCTAATTTTAACTCGTAATTTTTAATCGAAAACATAGCGATGAAGGAATAACGATTATTTATCGACTTAAAAAAAAGCATAAAAATTACGGTCCCTGGCTTGAAATCGGTGACCGGAAACGGCCTCGATAATGAAAAGTGGCTTATTGTTATTAACTATTTTTTAATTATTAGCCAAGATCTAAATAATTTTCCCGACAGCCAATATGTTAGCAATTATGTTGCTATTACCAAGCGCGCTAGCACCACACTTCCACAAACGCTATTATATTAATGCATATTTAATAGTAGCAATAATTAAAATGGCTTAATTGCGATTAAATGTTGGGCAGGCAATTGCTTTATTTCAAAAACGAAAAACAATACCAGTTTGCGCTTCAACATTTTCACTTGCAAATAAATATGAAGGAAATTTTTGTTAAAATATTTGTGCTACTGATTATACAACATACTGTACAAATAGGCAGCGGCAAGGTACATACAAATGTACATACCTACATATGTAATGGAAGATCAGAAACTTTACTCCGTTTTTAGTAGAAAATATACATATATCACATTATGATCGTTTCATCTTTTTCAGCGCAACTACTTCATTAACGTTGAATATATGAATGGATCCGGCAATCCGGCGCTTTGTAGTGAATTCAGATTCAACTACTCCAATGAGCGGCCCACGGATAAACTTTTTATTGAATTCCGTTTAAAAGAAAATTTACCGAGATTCTCATTTGGTGGACAAGTTGATATACTACGTGCTGATAATAGGATAATTCGTTTTATGGATGCCACAACTGATGGTTGCAAATTACTTAATACGAAAAACAAATTATTTCAACTTTTTTCAAAAGAAATAATACGGGTATCGAATTTTCCAAGGAGTTGTCCATTGTCGGCGGTAAGTGAGATGTGAAGCCATTTGCAATCCAAAAGTTTCTATTTGTTTAGTTTAATATTCGAAACATTTCTTTTCCATTTTCGTCTAGAACAAGTTATACTTTGTTAGAAATTACTCGATTGACCCGGAAGAGTTTCCAGTTTTTTTGCCAACCTTACATTGGATTGTGCAAGTCCAAATTCTAAAGGAAAAAGTGGTAGTTGCATCCGTTTATCTTCAAGGTACTGTTAAAAGGGTGTGAACTAAAATGTTATGGAAATTATTTACATATTTCAAAACCTATCAGAATTTTAATATTTCTTTCTTTGGACGTGTGTGAATCGGTACTAAAGTTCGCTGCGAGTAAATTTTTGACAAGTCTGAGGTGAATAAATGCATATTTAGAAAATTTTGACAATCGCAAAGATTGTTGATGTGTATAATTTTTCTGTCCCAAATTTAAGCAAAAACAATAAAATATTAGGAAATGAAGTTTCTGGTGGACAAATTACTTTAGAAATTACTTTACTTTACTTTTATAAAATAATTCTTGTAAATAAATTTCTTTAATATTTCAAAAGCTTTAATTGATTAAAAGCTTAAATTGCAATCAAACGAGGTTTTCTTGAAATATTCATTTCACTTCAATTTATAATATTTTATTTTGTCGTTGTCAAAAATGTACTGCTGTCAAAAAAGTTTTCATTTCACACAGCAGATTGGCAAAACTGTCTCACCATAGTAAAAATATTATTCACCTGCTTTCACCACAGCACTTTTTTACCGATTCACACACGCTCTTTATAAGCTAAATTAATCAATGTGAAAATATTTTATCAATGAATTATTGCCTACAGTATTTCAATGCTTTTAGGATGGATGTGATTGAATGTTTCTTATTCATTTATTTAATAGCTTTTGCCCGTGGAGTTCGGTTTAAGGTTATGATTTCGAATGTAACAAAAATAAATAAATTATATCACTGAAAATAATAAAATTTATTTAAAAAAAAGTTGCTTACCCTTTCTAGGTTCCTGAACAGCGTCCAATTCCATATAAATAGACCAATTCAGTATAAAAAATACGTTTCTTAGGTAATGCAAGGAATACATTTTTTAAATTATTTTTATTTTTAAACTATCACACAAATTGTAAATTGAATTAGACTTTATAAACAGCTGGCACACTCTTCTTTCGCTTGACATTCATATTTTAATATTTTATTAAATTGAATTAAAGTTTAAACAGACGGAAACCCTCTTCAAAATAAAGCCTTTTTAACATATTTCGTTTGACATCCATATTTTAGTATTTCACTGAAGTAACTGATCAAATTTAATTACACTTTTAAGCAGGTGGCCACTCCATTTAAAATATTTTCGAAATATAGCCGCCTTAGAAAACTTTTGTTTGGTTTGACAACTTTTTGTAATGCTTAATTTAACTTACAGATTTAATTTAAATGGATTTTCAAACAGTTGGCAACACTATTTAAAAATATTTTCGAAAAGAAAACGTTATCATACCTAACTCGATTGGCATGTTATACTTTATTTAACTTATGAAAAAATAGTATAACACTTTTAAACAGGTGGTAACCATTTTTAAAATATAAATTTCTTACATCTCATTCATTAGCCATCCATATTGTAATAATGAGGTAATAATAACATTTTTTTTTTAAATTTTCAAATAGGTTGCAATCCTTTTCAGAATTTTTTCTTAATAAAGTAATAAAGCGTTTTTAAGTCTTTGTTGTTTGACATCCGCATTGGAGTGAAATTTTACATTTTAAGCAGGTGGCAACCCCCTACAAAAAATATGCGATTTATTAATCCAGTTCATAAACTATCTTACAAGCTATCGCATTTATAATACTGTCAACTTGTCACTCAAATTGATTTTAACCATTAAAACAGTTGGCAACCCTGTTTAAAAATTATTTCGAGAAAATCGTTTTCACACTCCCTTTGTTTGGCACCCAAATTGTTTTGCTATTTTATTTAATCTTTTAATTAATTTATTCCTACTTTTGAAAAAGGTGGCAACTCTATTTAAAAAATATCCTATATATCTGTGTGCCAAATTTCGTTAAAATCCGCCTAGCCGTAAAGGGGCTCTGGGATCCCTGCAACTAGTGCAGCAAATGTCGGTGGAGATCATTCAAAGGCGGTAGAGTCTAGCGATCTACCAAATTCCTCACCCAGAGTTTAACACCAGAAATCCCTTAAGGGATATCGGCAGGTCAAAAGTGCAGGGCGCTGGGCGAAAACTTTGGACCGCAAGTTGGCTAAATACTTCTGGTCACGTGAATGCCGGAGGCGGCTCAGGAGGCTCTTAAGACTAAGCAAGTTACAGCGAATAGGTAAGGCTGAATATCATCGATGACCCTGCATGTAGGACGATGAGGTGTATATATATGCATTAATTAAGCTTTTAACCCACTAACTTGAACACAAAAACCGGCATGTAGCTGATAAAAAAAAGAAATCCTTCACGATCTCTGTGTTCGTACGATTATCAAGTTTTATGATTGAAAGAGCTTGCCAACGCCGAAGGTTCTCAGAAAGGCGTTCAGTAAGCATAGGAAATGCTTCCTTGCATAAAATCTTTAGTTGTTTTTTTTTTTGAATGTTTCGCTGCATTTTTACATCACATCAATGAACCGAATATGCGCGCGCGAATATCAATCGTAATTATGCGGTACGCCAGCGCAATCACAGCGCCCCACGTACCTACTTACATACATACATATGTACATACATACCTTAGCTACAAGCTGAGGTGGGAATATCTTTGGCCACATAGCGTCGGCAATAATAGTTCGATCGTGAGATGCGTGACTCGCTGCCGTACTGTATCATGCTGATGATGCTGATGATGATGACGATAATGATGATGCTGAAGGCTGCTCATTGATGCGCGCTGTTAATGCAAAGAAGAACTTAATGCAAACGGACATGGCGACGCGCATTGCGCTATTCCGCCACTCGAGCCGAGATAAACAAATATTGCAGTACTGTGAACGCTTTCCATTTTCGAAAATTAAATGTTTGCCAACTGCAGCAGCCGCAGCGGCGAAACGACCGACGAAACATTGCAACAGAATGAGTAGGATTTTTTTTTTTTTTTTTTGCTGGCGTAAATGCTGTTTAGGTGGATTTTATAAAGCGCCGCACGGCACTGCACTGCTGTTTTTCCCCCATTTTTTTCGCAAGCGTTTCTGTATTTTGCAGCCAACTCAACTCGCTTTGTGTGGGAACAAACACGACCGTCGAAAAATTATTTACAAACATATATACATACATACGTACACTACCGAAAGTTGGCTTTATTCAAACAGCAGAAAAGCAGCTGTTGTGGCAGCAGCCGCAGCGTTTTAAAATTGCCCACCCCATACATACACGCACTCTCACAATCACTCAAATGCATGGGCGAGCGGACGGGCGAGCGTCCCTGTATGCTTGCGACCGCAACGCATCCTCGCAATGCACTTGATTGCTGCGGTTTTCCGCAACTTCTTCAATGTCGATCTGTTGTGTGCGGTTTTAAATTTCCCAGACGCATACGAGAGTGTGTCGACGACAGTAGTTGGAGGCGTGGCTTATGAAATAAAATGCTAGCGCGTATTTGCTGGCAGAAGAAGCGAAATTGAAAAGACAAAGTTGCAGAAAAAATTCCAGAACAGCGGATATTTCTCAAAAGCGACTGTGAAAAAAGGATTAACAGGAATGCAAACAAAAAATCAATTAAGCACATTGCTGTGCTAAAGTTTCACGGTTAGGAGAGATTTTATGGCCTGGAATTTATTTCAGCAAAGGCTGAGTCTGATTTGACGTAAAACACTTTAAACTCCACGATGCAATGTAAATATTTCTACGAAGGCGTAATGTCGATGCAAAGTGCAAGTTTTTTACAAAACTCAGATCCGCCAGGGGGCGATAGAAGCGGACTCTTACGAAAAAGTCAGATTTATATCCACATATATAAAATCTATAAAAAAAAAGCTCTCATAAGCTTAGCCCATGGGATATGTTTGTACTATACTACAAACGTATGTGCATAGATGGCGCTGTGGTCGAAATATTACGATTTTGGTCGGTTCTAAGCCATAAAAAAATTTTTATACATTTACTTTTAGATTTAGCAGACAGCGCGACACTCCGGAAAATGGAGAAAAATATTTTCCAGCCTCAACGGAATAATAAGCAAACTTTAGTATCCATGCGTGATAAGCCCTCAAACCTCAGAAGGATGTTTTCCCACCTCATCAAAATTTTTTAGAGTGAGTACACGAAGTAGGAGAAAAGCAGATACTGCTTTACTGTGATCTAGGTTGATCTGTATGACTTTGAATACTCGAACCTTTAGTGACCCTATAATAATAGGCGTAACAACTTCCACATCGTTCAGAAGGTCAAAATCTGAATCAAGCTCTTTCAGAGCTTCTCGCGTTCTAGACGATGTCTATCCGATTAGCTCGTCATTGTACTTTCCTTCGTCGACGTCCATCTCATGATAGCTGGCGGGCTCTCCAACTGCTATATTCAGTGATTCAGCCTCGATTTTATATAGACCTTGATGGTAATCATCCCGAAGTCAAATTTGAACTATCGGGTATACAAGTAAATTTTAAAGAATTGTCAAGAGAGGGCACCAGTAGTGTTTAAGCATACCAGACAATATTGTAACCATCTCGATGTTAAGGCGTCATCATTTAACCATATTTTACACCTGTGGGTACTGGTTCTGAAGTTTCAAAAGTAGTGATTTTGACACAGCCGACAATGACCGCGTAGGAAGGCCACCAACGCTTGTGGACACCGAATTGGAGGCCATTTTGTTCGAAGACCCTGCCAAACTCAAGAAGATATCGAACGGCGTGTCACAGTGTCCCAAATGGAGTATTCGGTATTCGATGGAGTAAACGGTCGAGCTTTTACTTTGGCTTCCTATATTGAACGTTGATGCTTAGCAAACTACGCATTTTTTGCTCAACATGATATCACAATTCGGTATCATAGAGCTAGCCCACCGAACATCCTCTTGCGCTTTCACGAAATCCTCCATGAAGACTTAATCCTATTGGTAAATTGGTAATTAGAAGATGAAGAATCCTCTAAACGACAAGTCGGTCTTAGTTAATGGCTTTAGAAGGGTTGATGTCCTTGGGCTAAGCTGGCTATTTAGGCGCTGTTTACTGGGTGGCGATTGTACTATTTTATGGCGTAGGGGACTCTATGTTTGCGCTTAAGGCCTCCCAACATACATACTTAAATTTTATAAGTAGACCTCGTTTTTAGACTTCTGGTACCACTTAGTATCT